AGATAATAAATGGGGAAAATTCCAACTTCATATAATAACTGGGGAAAATCCTAACTTCAGATATTAACTGGGGAAATCCCAACTTTAGATAACAACTAGGGAAAATCCCAACTTTAGATAATAACTGGGGAAAATCCCAACTTTAGATAATAACTGGGGAATATCCCAACTTCAGATAATAAGTGGGGAAATCCTAACTTCAGATAATAATTGGGGAAATCCCGACTTTAGATAATAACTGGGGAAAATTCCAACTTCAGATAATAGCTGGGGAAAATCCTAACTTCAGATAATAAATGGGGAAATCCCAACTTTAGATAATAACTGGGGAAAATCCCAACTTCGGATAATAACCGGGGAAAATCCCAACTTCAGATAATAACTGGAGAAAATCCCATTTTGTAAGATAACATGATAATGTTATAAACCTTTGAAATTTACTGGGGAGGATCCCACCTTAGGATAACATGATAATGTTATAAACCTTAGAAATTTACTTTAGGATATTAACATATGTTAAAAAATAAGAGGGTTGCCAAGTCACTAAAGCGTGAAATGATCCCCTTATTCACATCCCATAGTTACATATCGTGTGTCCAAGTGGGGTGTAGAAACCTAAACACGGATGAAAGAGGTTATTAACTCTTTAAACCTTATAGGGGATTAAGTACCCTTGATCGTAGGAGAGATGATCAGTCTCTATTCGCAGTGGCTAGGATCCTTGAGTTTCGGCCTGTTTAAAATGTTAGCTTAGGTTGGGTGTTAGCTTGGCTAACATCCCCCTGATGCTTAAGTCACTAGTGTTCTTAGAATAAAAATAAACAAAGAAAAGAAATGAGGCTAAGGAGTAGGTATGTACCTCGACTCGATTATGATGAACAGTCACTAAACTGACTTACATAAAGTACGCTTCAAGGTGCATAGCATTTCAGGATCTTGGCAAGATGCTTCCTTCTGGGGTAGCTAGCCAATATGCCCTCATTCATGCTTCCGAATCAACGGGATAGGCATCACACTTCTAAGCATATAAGAAAGCATCATTCTTCATGGTTGGAAAATAATGCACTACTAGAAAAACAACCTTTTACGACACGCAATGCGTGTCGTAAAACGCTCAGACGACGCGCAAATGCGTGTCAAGGAAGACCCTGTCATAACGAGAGACGACGCGCATTTACGACGCGCACTTACGACACGCATTTACGACGCTCATTTACGACACGCAATGCGTATCAAGGAAGGCTCTGTCATAAAGGAAGACGACATGCATTTGCGTGTCGTAACCTTACGACGCACGTTTAGGACACAAATTGTGTATCATTAAAGCCCCTGTCATAAATGAAGATGACACGCATTTGCGTGTCATAAACTTCAACAACCATTTACGATATGCATTTACGATGCGTCTTTACGATACTCATTTACGCATAATACAAAAATACGGAAACAAATATATACCAAAACAATCAATTTCATCCAATAACATCATGACAAAAAATTGTAATACATTGGAATTAAGGGGATCTGATTGTACATTGTTATTAAGAGGTGTTCCCTAACTATGTGACTTTTGCAATAGGCTCAGTGACACCACCCTCTTGCAAATTAACTCCTAATCCATTAGATGTTGAACCAATGTTGCTATCAAATTCCTCTCTGTAAGGCATCATTCAAGACCAAACTTGTCGTTTTTGCTTCTCTCTTTCAGTTAGAAGATAAAGTGCATGATATAAAAAGCAATTGATAAAACAACCATATTTATCTTATCTCGCGTGAACTAATGTTTTCATTAACTTAAAATGTAACATCACCTAAACATTATATATATTTCATGTCATGTTATATATTGGTTTTATTATTAGTAAAGAAATGTAAGTAAAAAAGTGCATGTATGTTATTGTTGGCTACCATGGATAAAGGAGCTTTGTGGACCCAAATCAAAATACACATTTTAAATGGAACCCAACATTTTTTTTTCTTCCTTTTTTTTATGCTAGAAAAAAAATTCCAAATTGTATTTGATACCTCCCCTTCAAGCCGATCAAGTATATTTAGAACTTTCTGATGATGATGTTTTTTAGCCTCAACCTGAAATTCAACATTAAATACATTATTTTCAACTTTTATTAATTTCTGAGAAACTTAAAGAAACAAAAACATTGCATAATAGAGTAATTAATCAACATGGATATAAGTCGTTGAAGTGTTAATCCCTGCTGTTGAGCTTCAACAGCTGACATGGTAGCAACAGCTTCTTTACCCAATACAGTCATGTTTGACTTCAGTTTCATTCCATTTTTTCATTTGGTTGTAAATGAGTACGGAATTGAATTCCATTGAAATTCAGAAAACCCCATCAATGGAAGTCATGAAATTCAATTCTAATTCCTCCCCATTTGTGTAAATGACTGAAATTCCCCTTGTAAAATCACTAGGGTTTTATTTCTTTGATATTTTTACAAGTGTTTATATAATGGTGGATTCTAATAGCCCTAAAAATTATGCAGCCCAAGTGACTGGAGATATGTAGAAGCAGAGCTAAAAAGACGTTTGGGGAGACACTTTTTGATATATGGTATGACTTCATTACACTTTTCTATTTCTTAATTATGATCCTTTTTTACTATTTACTTGAGTTTTATCTTTTGGTATTTAGCTTTATAGAGTTAATTTTTTTTTATAATTTGAACATGTCTGGAACAAGTTCAGCTGACACTTACTCTAAAACCTTTGCTGGAATTGATGGAGCAGGAAAACGGTTAGCAGATGAAGTGAGTACCCAATTTGATGATATCATGAATATTGATTTTTAAATTTCATTATTTATGCAATCAACAACATTTTCAATGATTTGTTTATTATGTGTAAACTATAATAGCATTCTACTTCTATTTCTGCCTATTGTTTCTAATTAAAACAAAAAATGAATATGAAATGGTATAATAGTTTACTGGATATATTTTGTAAAGTACTTACTAATAAGAAAAAAATTGAAAATATCAGAAAACTCATCATTTTTAGCCCATTCACTTGGTGGTTTGATTGCAAGATACGCAATTGCTGCTCTTTATACTTGTAGTAATAATAATAATTATAACTAGAAAGGTATCCTCGCGTTGCGGGGTTCGAAAGGCCAACAGTATTTGCGGGCGCCCTCTCAAAGTTCGTTTCCATTCCTAAACGGCATAACAATACCTGATTTTATTAAATGTGAATATAGAGTCAAATGCAAATCTACTTAGTATAACATCCTACTTTATTTTGAAAAATCTACCCAATTATATGAATGGTATAGACCGGAAAAAAAAGGAAAAAAAAAGTCATTACTATAATTCGTTGGAGATCTTCTAAGTACAATGTTGTAAAGGTAAGCAATTTGCTGAGTTAGCAGCGGTGATAAGCTGTCACAAAACCTGTAAACATTAGTGGAAAAGGCGGTGAGAAGTCTCTCACGTAATGACCCATTGAACCTATATTAAAGGTAAATAGAAAGGAAAAGTGTCAAAATAATATAGAACTTTGAATCAATCCTACCTGAAGTGTTCAAGGTCTGTATATATGATTTGACTTCTCAAAGAAATTGAATTCCATCCATTTGGCAAGCTGGAAACTAAAGAAGTAAAAAAGTGGTTGAATTTAATAATATTCATTGTAATTTGGACATAAGGAGAAACATGATTATCAAATAACCATAGCATGTTATAGAGCCATACATTTATCAAGTTAAAAGGAAAAAAGCTAACATCATAAACACATATAGGAAAACTGAGTTAGTAGACAACACCCTATTGCCATTAATCGTGATGACACAATAGTATGTTAAACTTGATGTAAACCAATTTTTCATGCTATCACAAAACTTATTTATTTAGACAGTCACAAAAGTTATTTATTTAGACAGTCATTTAAAAATATTAAAAAAGAATGTTTCCACAATTTCACAAAAAGCTTGCAATTTTAACATAAGATTTACCTAAAATTCACCAAAAAGCTTGCAATGTTTTCATGAAATCAAGGCAAATGAACAATTTTATGAAAATGGACGAATGAAATAACCTTTCACTTCCATATATCCGGCCACATTCTAAAATTTCTGCACACAAAGAAAACATATAATTTCCATTTAAACCCAATAACATATCCCATTTTCAGAAAAACAATACTCTTACCAGTTTCCAAGATTTTTGAAGTAGAAAACAATAAGTCTTTTCATGTCAGCTTCCTTGAGGGAACAAAATAGTACATACAACATATTGAACAAAAACATTGAAGTCATGCTTTAAAAGAAAATTCAAAAAAAAAACAAAACAAAAACAAAAGTATAGTTCACAAACCCCATCGAATTAACAAATACTTTATACAAACCCATAAAACCCACATCAGAATTTGGGGTAAAATCATATATATATATATATATATATATATATATATATATATATATATATATATATCATCAAGTATCTTACAGAACACAGATATGAAAGAATTATATATAAGAACGGAAATGACCTAGGTGGTTGAATGATGACGTTGATAAGCTATTCCATAGAGATTAAAAAGCAACTACAAATGATCATACCTTTCCAACACCCTTTGTGGTTTCAATCATTTTAAGACAATTTGCAAATATCTTTTTAAAAGCTATGTTAAGCTTAAAAGTTTCTGGAAAGGTTTCACCCTGTAAATCCAAAAAAAAAGATCAACCCACAAAACTATCCGAGTAAGCAATGTTTAAAAACACAAAAAATAAAAAAATGAAAAAACTTTACATAACCTGTGTTACGAACACGTGAAAGTTGTTCTAGGGATTTAAATCCAAGCTACTAAGTTGAAAAAAAAGTGAGAAAAACCAAGATAACGGAATTTGATTAACACTAAACCTTATCAGTGTGAATGCGACCACCAATTCTATCACGTGATTCCAATTACACCGCCTGTATGATACCATTTTTTTTAATATAACGAAAAAAAATAAAGCCAAATATGAACATTTTAGCGTTTCATAAGAATATAACCTCAAAATCATTATGAAGCATATGAGCAACAACTATCCCTGAAATACCCCTTGGTATCACGATAATAGAAGGTTTGGAAGTATGTCGTCTCTCAATATACGATGCAAACATGAAAAGGGCAATATGGGAATTCTGCTCACCAATTTCTGTGACAATTCAAAAAAAATTCCCAAAAATTCATCTATCAATTAACAGACAACAGTTTATCCATACAATATTTAATTTGAAAAAAAAAACAGGGCCTTACTTTATAGCCCATTTTATCAACCATTTCCTACACCACTTGATACATGGTTGGCTTAGCTTGAAACAAAACAAAGAACAAAAATTTCAATTAGTCGAGGCAACATGGATGAAAAGTAAGAAAAAAAAAGTCAAATCGCCTTGTAAGGTACATCAACCTCAAGATCGAACTTCAATCAATCAAATAAAATTTCGTTCATATAAGTTATAAAATAGGGAAGAAAGATTTATTTAACTGTAAATATTTTCCTTTCTTTTTGGACATATAGATACAATGTCATGCATCTATACATACATGGACTGCTTCACTGGAGAGAGAAAGTGAGTTTTATGTTAACTTACTTACGCCTAATTTGGTCTCAAAATAAAGCCCACTTCCAACTTATTTCAGATAATCTTCTTCTTCTTCATTATTCATCAAATGAAATGTCTACTTTCTTTCAAGAATCTATCACAAAGCGGTTACTTACTGTTAGTTTTAAAACTATGAAAAAACAATTAAAGTATGGAATATTGGCATACTCTTGCACATTATATTAGCTTCTGATAACTCCTGTTGTAGGGCACTTGTGATCCTACAGATGAAAGAACTGATAAGTAAAACTACTATAAATAAAGAAATAAACATCTATTTTTTTTATCAATAAAGTAACAAATCCAAACAAGTTTCTTTCAACATTAAAGTAAAAATGAATGTTACCAGGTGTCTCTTTTTGTTTCACGATCACCCTTTTAGGGCCACGGCTTAGCATCTCCACTTCTGCAATGAATTCACGATCACCGTGACAAATTTAGGACATGATATTCCTACAGATTGTAAAACTTCTGCAATGAATTCTCAATTGGGACTTCAGTCTCACCAAACATACAGTACAACTGTCATAACAAGTTAAGTTCCTATGAGGAAAAAGAAAAAAAAACATCCAATTTAGCTTTTATAAATGAGGAATATGAAATGGCTCATAGAACAAATGAAGGGAACATATAATTTAGCAAATCTATTTGGTTAAATAAGGGATCATGAGTGCATACCCCAAACATACAAGTGAAACATGGGCTCAAAATCCTCAACATCAGCTTTGTGTTTGACAACAGCACGATGAAGAGTAAAAGCAATAGTAGTGGTCCAAAGGAAAGATGCCACACAAAAGAAATGAGTGCTGTAGCCTTGGGCATAACAGAAGAATCCTTTAGATGGATCACTGCATATATAATACAAACGTAGTATTTAGTCACTGAAGAATTCTTTAGATGGATCACTACATATACAGAAATCCATGTTAGTGAATACAGAACTCTAAGAAGAAGAAGAAGCAAATTTATTCCACTTCACTTAGTATCCATACCCAACAACACTGAAAAAGCTGCAAAGCATATCCTGCACCAACAACAAAAAACATAAGTTATTACCTTTCAGCCCTGAATTGAGATTGATTCAAGCATAAAAATGTTGGTTTTTACATAGAAATAGTTCCAGGGATTCTAATTTGATATTATGACTATGTGACCTTTCATTCAACAAGTTAAGCAAATGGAAGTCTAAGCGAAGAACTCAACAAGCCTCAATCATACATCATACTAAAAGGGTAAAGTGATAAATTTCTTAGAATTGAATGCTCATGCTAAGTTGATCCCAACAGAGGTTTAATAGCACCAAAACGCATATACTATAGCAAAGTCACATTCTATTACAAAGACTAAGGTTAACACAACCATCCACTCAAGGTTTGTTCCAATTTAAATGTAAAATGGAGTACATTGATCTAATAGAAACCAAGTGTGTAAGGGGGGGGGGGTGATGAAGCTATAATATCAACCAAATTATCAGACCACAACCAGTTCCTAAATGTCAAAATTCAACCATGAAAGAGATATTCAATTAACTCCAGACCGTAGCATGCTCTATGTTGAAATCATTTATAGGGATCAGAACATAAAGTCAAGAAAAAACAATGAACACAGACAGATAAACAAATCGATGTTTTAATTTGGACTTTACTAGAGCACTTAACTAAAACCACCACAACTGTTAATTGTCAAATATATTTCACACTGAAATTTAATTCAAATCGATCTGAATTTCGATAGAAAGAGACTTACTGAAAGAGCGAGGAAGAAAACGAGCTTGAAGGAGAACTTGTGGAGTTCTTTAAAACACACGTATCAAAGCACTATGAATCTAGAAATTAACAGTGATAGAGTAGTCCTCGTGACGTTCTTGAAAAAAAAATTAGGGTTTCAAACCTTCTATCTGCTTTCAAACAATTGGGGTTCTCAGTCAGATATACGTGTAGACATGAAGGTTTCAACAACCCTATCGATGTTCCCGATTTCATAACTCTCAAATTTGAAAACCTTCTATCTGCTTTATACTGGATCGTATGACTGGAATAATGGTGGTGGATGAAGCGTTCGTCGATAGGGCCGGTGTGCCGCCGCTGTGTGAGGCCAAAAGAGACGGTGAGTGTTGGAGGTGGTGGTGGTGGGTTAGGGAAGAGACGAAGGATGTGATATATGAGAGAATGATAGTCCTCGTGACGTTCTTGAAAAAAAAAAGACCTAGTTTTAGTCCCCCATTTTGTAATAGGAACGCGCGTTTAAAAATTATAAAGCGACATCGTGCACAGGACACGCGTTTATGATGGGTGTCTTCCGTGTTTTTATTTTTATTTTTTTCTGACACAAATTTTAGGGCACGCAAAAATGCGCGTCCTAAATCCTTCAAAATTTTGGAGATATGACATTATTTTTACGTCACATACTTTTGCGTATCGTAAATCCGTGCGCGTCATAAATTGCGTGTCAGTAAAGGCCTTTTTTCTTGTAGTGGTGTCTTGTTCTTAGCACTTTAGAACACAAGGATCTGCCCTCAATATGGTTGCCACAATCCCCTTCATATATGTCTTTTGGAACTTCCATGGCTTCTTGATATTAGATATGTACCATTTTGGAGATACTCTATGATGGGTTGTGTCTAGGATCTTAAATGTCTCTAAGGATCCTGATTTTTTGGATCGGGATTCTGAACATCAGGATCCTGGTCAGAGCTTCGATTGCTACTATGTTGGCTATCAGATTATGCTCATCAGGGTCGTTAGGTCTTCTGGATGGATCTTCTATCGCAAGGATCATTATATGGGTTATTGGGATCCTGGTCTCTGGCGGGATCCTGAGGGAAGACTCTAAGTTGGCTAATGCGTCTGCCTTGCTGTTATCTTCTCTAGGAACTTAATTAAGACTAAAATATTCAAATTCGGAGGCTAATTTTTAAATAATTTGAAGGTATAGTTCTATTGTTTCGCCTTTAACTGCATATAATCCATCAAAATGGTTAGTTATTAATAACGAATCGACATATACCTGAAGATACTTGATCTGAAGATCCTTGGCTAGTTGTAGCCCCATGATCAGTGCTTCATACTCTGCTTCATTGTTATTTGCATGTAATTTACAACTAACTACTTGGGGTACGATGTCCCACTATGGCGATTTTAGTATGATCCCAAGGCTTGCTCCTCTAAAGTTGGATGCTCCATTTGGAAAGAGTATCTACTCCCCCATGTTTTCTTCTTTTTGAGGTTATTGGAATTCTAGCTCTACCTCATGTTGTAGATCATCACTAAAATCAGCCAGAAACTCTACTAATGCATGTAACTTTATTGAGGATCTTGGCTCATATTTGATTTCATATGTGATGAGCTTCACTAACCACTTAGTCATTCTGCCTGACAAATCTGGTTTTCTCATGACATTCTTAACAAGATAGTGAGTTTTGACACGTATAGTATGAGTTTCAAAATAATGTCTTATTTAGGTAGAAGTTGTAATTAGTGCAAGTATTAGTTTTTCAAAGAGAGAGTACATGGTTTTAGGATCCAAGAGACTTTTACTTACATAGTAAACATGTTACTGTTCGCCATCAAGATCCTTGGCCAAAACAACACTTACAACATCCAAAGATACTGAAAGATGTCAGAGGAGTGGTTCTCCATTCGAAGATCCTTGGCCAGGACTCGCTTCCATTCCCCTCTTGCTGACCATATAACCAAGGAACTTGCCTGCCTTCATTCCAAAGTAATATTTGGACGGGTTCAACTTCATGTTGTATTCATCTAATATATCGAAGAATTCTTCAATATCCCTAAGGTGATCCTCATCTCTTTTGGATTTGACCATCATTTTATAAATGTAGACTTCCATGGTGTCCCCCAGTTTATCCTTGAACATTCGATTCACCAGTCTTCGGTATGATGCACCTGCGTTTTTAAGACCAAATAGCATAATAGTGTAACAATATATACCTATGGGAGTTATGAAGGCAGTATCCTCTTGATCAGATGGTTCCATTTGAATTTTTTGGAACCTTGTTGAGGAATCCATGAATGTTAATAGTCCATGGCCTGTCGTGGCATCTATCATAGAATCTATGTGAGGCAAATGGAAAGGATCCTTATTGTAAGCCTTGTTAAGATCTGTATAGTCCATACAATTCTCCATTTACCATTCTTATGCTGCACTACGACCACATTGGCCAACTATCTTGGGAACTTGACTTCCTTGATCATCCCTGTTTTGAGAAGTTTTTCTACTTCCTCTTGAATGATCAGGTTCCTTTCAGGTGAAAACTTCCTTCTATTTTGATGTATGGGTCTAAAAGAATGATCAATGTCAAGTTTATGAGTTATAATATTCTTATCTATACCTGTCATGTCTTCGTGTTTCCATGTGAAGGTTTCCCTTTTTTCTTTCAGGAATGTAACTAGGTCCTTTTCGATGTTTTCTGGTATTGAGGATCCTATGAGTACTTTCGCGTCAGGATCCTCAAGGTCTTGGGGCACTTCTTTTATGTATTGCTCATTCGCTTCTGGTACGTCTCGTGCCTCTTCTTTAATTGTTATGCTTACCTTGGTCCCGAGGAAGGATTCATTGAAATCTTGTAGCATTCTTTGGATTCTTGTTGATCACTGATGATCTTCACTGTCCCTCAAGGGATAGACATCTTGACACATTGGTGGTACATCGATGGAAACGTTTTCTTGTCATGGATCCAGGGCCTACCTAATATAACATTGTAGGAAGACAAAGCATTAATAACGCAAAAGCGTTGCATAGAATTTACCCCTTCAATGTATACGAGTAGCTTGATTTCTCCTATAGTATGCCTTGTTTCATCGCCGAATCCTATTAGTACCGAGGATTTCTTGATTCTCTTGGATTCCAGTATGTTCATTATGTTAAGAGCATCGAAGAGTATGATGTTCACCAAGGATCCTCCGTCCACCAGGATCCTTCTAACAAAGTGATTGGCGATGTTGAGAGTTATCACCAATTCATCATGATGAGGATCCAGGGTGTTTTTTCTATCCTGTTCGTCAAAGATAATCTCCTTGTTGTTTGTTATCGACGTGTTCTTTCGGGATCTTTTTTCCCTTTATATCTTGGACGCTTTGGCATTCCTTATAGCTGCATAACAAGAATTTTCACAAATGTCAGATCCTCCAGAAATAAAATTGACTACCTTGGCGTCATGAGGAGGGGATCCTGGTTTTTCCAGGATCCTCGCAGGATCCTTATCCTTTTCCTTCGATCTTTCTTTTCGTCTTCCTAGGATCTCTTGAAGGTGTCCTTTACTTAGGAGATAGCTAATCTCTTTTCTGAGGGCTATGATATCCTCAATGACTTGTATTTCTAGCAACTTGATTTGTCTCCTTTACTTGGCCACCTTGTTTTTTTGCCAAGATCCTACATGGCAAAGACTAAACCTAAATCATCCACACAAAAACAATAGTTAGTGATCCTGGGGAGGTCATCATCCTCTCCTTCATTGTCAAGGGCATTAACCGTATAATGATCGGGTATGGAACATGGCTTTAGTTTATAAGATCTTTGGGTCGAGGACTCAACCTTCATACTGGGATTATCGTATGGATTTGGTGGGTTGCTGCTCTTTTGGATCTCCTTATCTTCTTCCAGCCTGATAAACCTTAGTACTCTGCATCCATTCTTTTGGACGGAGTCATTATGAGGTCTTCGTAGAAATGGGAGTCTTCCTTTAGGCCCATTTTGAAGGCTTCCATGAATGTTGCCATGTCAATGTTGGGGATAGTCAAAGCTTCCCTGCCAAACCTGTTTACGAACTCCCTAAGGGAATCTTTAGTGTTTTGGTCAAAAATTACATAAGTACAAATCAACCAAATTGAATGAGAGGTTGTGATGTTCGAATTGTGCAATGGACAAAGGTAAAGAGAATGACACGGTTGTTTACAAGGAAAGCTCTTGATCCTTGCTAGGATCTCCAGCACAAAACCTTGGGAGGTGATAATGATCACCTTCCTTGATGATTTTATTAATATATAATGATGATTACAGAGAGTATTTCAGTAAGAACAAGTGAAAAAGTTCAATTTTGGTTACATGTTACAGAGTGGTTTTGTAAGGGAACGGGTCGAGATCCAGATTACCGGACGTCCGACCAATGTAACTCGAAATGAAATCTTGTAAAAAAGTTTGTGATGCATTGGAACGTAATTTACACAAACTTTGAAAAGCAATGAGCTAGCGACGAAAGTGAGGAGAGTTTGTTGAAAAAAACACACGTGAAATTCCAAGATGACATGCTAAAGTCTTTTAAGTTCATTAATGTATAGGAAGTTGTCAAAAAAAGTATTAGGTGGAAGGAGCTTGCAACACTTGAAGATATTGCTAATCCGCCAAAAAGAAGTAGAACATCTTCATATTCGAGCTCACAACAAATGTCATCGGATGATCACATAGGCATTGATCTTAATGATGATAATGAAGACATCGAAGAAATACGCCCGCCTCCTCGTCCTATGGGAAGGTACAAAGCAAAAGCTCGAGCAAAAGTAAAATGAAAAGCGACATCTTCAAGTTCGTCGGTCGGAACCGAGCGGTCAACTAGATAAGAGAAAATGATGGCACAAATGTTACAATTGAATACAACTTTAGAGAAATATGTGGTTAAAACCGTCTAACTCACAGAATATTCGTTGTTAATGTAAGATGTGAGGCACCTCGACCCTGTAAATCAAGAGGCGGCTAAAGTGGTCAAGGCGTCGATTCGAGAAAAATATAATCTAAATGCAAATGAAATTTCAATGTTATGTTTTTTTTCTTTGTTTTTAATGTAGTTTTTGACTTCATGTTTTTTTTAGGTTTTGAATGTAATTTTTAATTTTAGTATGGTTTTTATTAAAATCTTTTTTATTTTTTTTATTGAATTCTTTTTAAAAAAAGTTCATAGGTAGAACCATCACCACACTGTAATTCATAGGAAA